TTTTAGGCGTCGTTTGAGGTGTAGGGAACTTTTTAAAGGTCATTCCGTCCTCCAGGTAGGACAGAAAGTCCCCGATGTCCGGGGCAGGTGGCGGTTGGCTCGGAGAGCTAAAGCAGAAATAACTGAACCGTTGCTGAGTCAACCCGTCTGGCTGGCAGTCACTCATGTATTGCTCTTCGGTCGGGTTCGCTCCACTCATGGTCAGATACCCTGAGCTTTGCGCCGAGGGCTCTACAAAGAACATGGCCGTCGTGGGCCGCTGGGCGTTTGGTTGGTTGCCTGTTGCTATTGGCCGCTGGCGCCCCTTCTGCGGGCAGTTGCGGGACCAATGACCCACTTGCCGACAGGCATGGCACCTTGACTTGGCCTGAAGCTGCTCGAGAGAAAGCCGTGGCCGCTGGTCGCCTGATCGGTCGAAGCCTCGGCCCTTTCGTGCATCCTGAAGTGCACGCCGGTGGTTCAGGTAAGAGCCATAGACGCCGAAAGTTCCAGGTGGAGGGGGCTTCTTTCCGAAGCTGCCCTTGTGGCCCTTCCCTTTGCCGAAGCTCTTGCCTTTGCCGTGCTTGCCGGGCTTGCCTTTGCCCTTTCCTTTTGCTCGCTCCCGGGCCTCGAAGAAAACCCAGCTCAGGCACTCGCCGGCGTACTCGATGGCCTCCGTCTCCTCCAAGGAGTCCTGGGGCATCTCGTCGACAATCATGTAGACCTCGCCGGAGTTAACGCCGAAGTCGAGGAGGTCGTCGCAGAGGGCCGGTTCCTCGGCAAGGTTGTCGTCATATCCATGGCCGCCGTTGCCATAGTAGCTGTCATAGTCGCCGGTGTTTTCACCCTCACCTTCACTCCAAGTCTCTTCCCAGTAACTTCTAGACTGGCTACCGTCTAGGGAGTCGCCAAAGATCTTTCGGATCGCCAGCTCGATCTTGGAAGTCGATGCTGCCATCGGTCAGCACCCGGATGCGCTGCTGTTGGTCCAGGGTAAAACCACCCTGCTTTAACAGCAGATGCCCGAGAAGGTGGTTACCCGCGTCTGTCGCCAGCATGTCCAGCCCCTGCTTCTTCAGCTCTGCGAAGGCCGCCTTCTTGGTCGCCAAGAAGCCGGTCAGGGTCTGGCCCGGCCGCCGCCGGCCACGGAAGATCGCTGCATCGAAAGCTTGCTCCAGCCTTGCCTCCTTCAGGTAGGAGCAGGGAAGCCGCCAACCGACTTCCAAAGAGAATCACATCCAGAATTCGTTTCCCAATCAGACTCGGAGGCAGTCTGGCCTCCGCCTCGATGAGCCACAGCTTAAGGTTCCTGGCATATTCCCTGTACTCACTCTCTGGGTGCTCCCCGTTCCAGGACGGTGCCGGATCCATTTTGTAGTCCACAAACTTCCTGGCCGTCTGCCCTTCCGAGCCGTCCAAGCCTCCCTGTCCATAGGGTGGTGTGCTAGGTGCCGCGGGTGATCGCGGCCTCAAAGGTGAACCATCTGCGCCAACACGGCGGACAGTTCCAGAGTCCGTAGCCATTTCCCAAAGTTCTGGCCAAAATCTCCCGCTTGTCTCTCAAGCAGGTCTCTACCAGACTTGTCTGGTTCCAAAGACAACTTGTTCCAGTCCCCACACGACTGGCCCAAAACCAAGGCCAGCAGGCCGGCGCAGAGCACACAGGTAGAAGCGGTTGTTGCTCAACAAGTAGTCGCGAAATGCCTCCCCGAAGAACCGGGTCGCTGTCAGGGCGTCGAAGTCGAACGCCCAGAAGTCGGCGCCGCTGCAGCGCCTGAAGTCAAAAGCGGCCCAGGTCGTCACCGGGGCTCCGCATCGGAAACAAGTGCACAGAAGCGCAGGGCTCTCTATCTTTTCCTGGACTCAAGGCGCCTGACGAGTCAGCGGTCACATGCTCACGTTTGGGCTTGCCGCTCCCTAAAGTGCACTCAGGAACAGCCATGTACAGCGCAAATCTGAGTATAAATGCATGTGGTTTCACACATCAGCACTTTGCCTCACATTTGTGGTTGATTGACGGAATTAAATCAAAGTGGCGCTACTACATCGGTGATTCTTGCCAGTGCCAAGCGCGCGGCATGCAGTTTCCCACCCGGAGCGTGCAATAGCTTCTGATCAGCACATTCCGGCGGCTTACTGAAGCGACGGCTGACATGTTAGATGCCTTCGATGCGCAACGAAGGAGGGAGTATAAGCGCACTGGTATAAGGCCCGCGGAACATCGGGCACGTTGCCGGCCAGCTGCAGTCGCTCATGATTTGGAACCTCTGGATGTTGGGGAGCTTCCCTGGATGCGTCCTATTTCGATAGAGGAACTTTGCCATGGACGCGATTTTGGAACAGCTCCCAGGCCCAGTGAGGCCCATTCAAGCTCATTGCGACCTTTGCAGCGCATGAGCTTGCACTGTCCGGTCACTCTCCCACAAAGCTTTTTTTAGTTTGTGCCGGCTCCTGCTCATTGAATGCGCCATGTCAGAGTCTTGTGGCAACACATAATTAGATCCCCCTTAAATAATAAGGGGGAAGTGCGCACAGCCATTATATAGAGAAACTGGTCTATGAAATGGCTGAGCTACCTCAATCTCGGGCCCCATGGAAGGCAGGTCTTCTATATAAAATGGGGTGCAGGACTTCTCAGGTCAATTCAAGATACACGGATAAGAAGGCAATAAATCTCTATGAAATGATGGGGTCACCTGGCTAAAATAACACCCAAAACTCTATAAAATGACGGGGCTACCTTCTGTGAATCGACGGCCCCAATCACGAAAAAATGGCCGGCGGGACTCCTACATCACTCTGCACCTCGCCCGTGCTCGAACAACTCGCCTTCTGGTTTAGGGATGCTCAGGGCCCTCGGAATAGGATCGCTTAGGATGGTTTAGGGATAAGATGGGATAAGATGGATTTGGAAATATTCTTCAAGGATCTTGAGCTGAAAGTTCTACCGCAATCATCTATACTGAATCGAAGGATCTATCAATGGCAATCGGCTAAAGAACCTGGGCACTCGGAATCTTTTGGCTCGCTTGCCAATCTCCCGTGTGCATCCCCATGCCTCATCTTGAGGCAACTAGCTTGAAGTGACTCCGAGTGAAAAATCACAGGCTTACAGTAGATGCGGTGTCTGAAGTCTTCAGGTCTTCAAGTGTTCTTCCTCACGCAGGGTTTTTTTGAGTATTTTAGATGGCTTAAGATCACACGGCATCAACGCATCCTGTGACAGCACTCCCCTCAAACTTAGACAGTGTGCCCTGAGTCCGTGCTCAAGTTGATTTTCTTCAGCAGCTGCAAAAATGCAGCCCTACTTGGAGCAGCTCCATCTCTCCCCTGCAGCTCCCTCTTGATAGCCTTGAAGATTTCGAACACCCTCTGACTGTAGTGCTGACGGCACCGGATCCGCACCAGGTCCACTTCCAGGAACTCCACGCATCTTTTGGCCATGGTCGCAACTGACATGCCTTTGAACTGGTGGACGCGGCACTGGTCCTCCTCGTCAAACAAAGCATTCTGCGCGAAGGCCAAGCGGTCTTGGGCAACAGCCCAGGAGAAAAGCTTCTGTATGTTGCGCCTGCCTTTGGCTGAGCGGCCAACATCGGCCGGTAGGATGACCTCAGCAGGCGCTTCCTTCTCGGCCAATTGCTCTTCTGGTTGTGCCACCCCCGCCCGGCGAGCTTTCTGCCGCCTCTTCCTGACCAAGCGCACAGCGAGCCGCGGTTTCGCGCCGCCCTTGCCGTGTGTTTGCGGCTTTACGATGCACGAGAGACTTGGCAGAGGCGTGTCGGCCAAAACATGCATGGCCTCCATGCTAGCCTCACTCAGCGTCATCTCGTGACAGTTAAAGCTGCTGTCCTCGACGTCCAGCAGGGCCAGGAGGTTGAGGCTTGAGTACACTGCGCCGCCAGTCGTAGGCACCACAACGCGGAGGTCTGAGTCCTGCCACGTTTGTGAGGGATAGGATGGATGATGAAATATGATTGGATATTAACCATGATGAACTATGCATCTAAAGAGACTGCATGAGGTCACTACATGTGACAAGTGATAAAAAATCTGCTGGCCCGCCTTGAGGTCCAGTGTAATTGCCCGGAAGCTGTGCACCGCCATCAAGGGCACGGGGTACGCAGCAGCTTGTGGCTTTCTGGCCCGAACAAACACCGAGAGGACCTGGGCAACCTGCAGCTGCCCTTGATGATCAATGAGGGCAACGCAGTGGCCAGCCCTCAGAATCACTGCGAGAAACAAATCCACACAGAGAATCACAACTATACGATACTATACGTAATCACTCAATTCCTGCACGGACATTCCACGCAAAATGAAACCTGATACAACAACAAGCGCTATTCGCAGCTGGACACTGAAGCTCCTTGGGAAAGGTCAGCTGGTTGTTCTCTCTCAAGGCTTCCGTATCCCGGATCCATTTCGAGAGTCTGGATCCACGCTGGCCATTCTGGTGCTCAACATCTCGGTCGCGGAGCAACTTGAGCTCGTGCTCTGCTTGCCTCAGCAGTCGGCACGTCAGAATGCTTTTGGAAGGTGTTGCGCAACAAATCAGAGGAAGATAGAGGAAGCACAAGTACGCACAAGATCGCACAAGATTGCACGAGGAAAAATGCAGAACGCACTTCGCAGATGATGATCAACAAATTCCTGATCCCTCTGGATAATTTTCAGGATTGCTGCCCAGCTGCTGGTGCCAGTTTAACTTCCTGCACCTCCTGCTGCAACGCTCCGCTTTTTTGAGATGCGCTGCATCCATCCCAAGCTTGCCACAACGCAAGTGCACAGCGAAAGAGAACAGATTTGTCCACAGATTGCGCCCCTGCATCCTTGGCTCAGGACAACTCCGAAAATTCTGCATTCGTCTTTTGATACTTTTGTGGTCTTTTGAAAGGCCTGAGCTCCTATAAAATGAGGGTGCCCAGCCTCGGACAAAGCCCAGGCATTTCATACAGGTTGCTTGGCAGGAGGCCAACATTCGTGCTTTTGGAATCTTTTAGATATGTTTGGGATCTTTCGGGGACTGAACTACTATGAAATGGAGGTCCCAGGTCCAACAGCAGGCCCAAGCATTTTATAAGGGCTAGCCTGGGTCCAGGAGGCCACTCAAGTAAGCAAATTGCGGGCAGGAATGGGCTACTATGAGCTACTATGAAATGAGGGCGCCAGGCCCAACAGCAGGCCCAAGCATTTTATACGGGTTAGCCTGGGTCCAGGAGGCCACTCAGTAAGCAAATTGGGGACAGGAATGGGTAACTACAAAATGAAGGTCCCAGGCCCAGTAGCCGGCCCAGGCATTTTATAGAGGCTGGGGCCCAGACCATTTTCTGATATCATAAAAATACATTGCCTGTTCCGGAATCCTCAGGTGATCTTAGGATATCTGAGGATATCTTAGGATATCTTAGGCATTCTTAGGATTTCTCAGGTTTCATTTGACAAAGCCTGACAGCTTCCTGTAGCAGAGCATCAGGGCTTGCTGCAATGTCCGAGGCAGATTCCTCAACTCTTCGCCCTCGTTGGAATCGTCTGCATCGTCCGCGGTCACATAGGTTTCCCATGCCTTTGGCCCTGCTGCAGCGGTAGCATCATAGAAGGGATCAGTTGGCTTCTTCGGGCTCCGGTCCAGCAGCGGCGCTGGAACCCTGTGGCCCCGCTTTGGAGACCCAACATCCGCAGTCGGCGTGGCCTCCTCAGGCGCTGGACCTGCACTCTCCTCTTCAGGCACCGCTACCGGTTCTGCGGAAGCAGTTGGTGCGTCTGAAGCAGAGCCCTCCACAGCACGCAGCATCATTGCATCCTCCGGGCCAGCAGGGGCCTGTGTCTCCTTGGACGTCGCGAGCAGATGCGCAGCGTCGCGGAGCTCCGTGAAGATGCTCTTGACGGCGGTCGGCTCATTTGGCACGTGATCCGAGTCCCCTTCATGGACTTCATAGTCCTGCATCCGGGAGCATTGGAGCTGTGAGCGTAGGAATCCTATCCAATCCTATCTACAGATTTGGGATGATTTTGGAAAATTTTGGCACACTGCTCTCCCCTCCGTTTCTTATGTATTCTCGAGATTTCGTTTCATCTCTCTTTAAACCCTGCCATACCCTGCCTACATCTGCCTACGCTGAAATATTCCTCCTTCATACTCTTCTGCCTCTTCTCTACATTGCTAATCTCAACATATCTCTACTATTCTCTACTAACATCTACTAACGCGCTGCTGCATCACGCCGCATCCTCGTCTGCCAGCAGGTCTCCCGCATCCTCGTCCTGCCAGTCTAGGGTCCCGTTTGCGGCGTAGGTGGCATAGGCATTCTGGAGCTGCGACCGGTCCATACCGCTGCATTGGGCCGCAAGCCTGGCTCCACAGACATTCACCGGAATTTCATAGAGGATTCTTCCAGGATCTTCCAGGATATTGGAGGGGGATATTTCGAGGCAGCTCCATGTTCAACATATGTTGATTGCCGATTGAAATCGTTTGAAGATATTTGAAGATTGTTTAAAGATTGGGAAGCATCCAGAATGCT